GGAAGGAAGGAAGGAAGGAAGGAAGGAAGGAAGGAAGGAAGGAAGGAAGGAAGGAAGGAAGGAAGGAAGAAAAAGAGGGAGAGGGGGAGGGAGGGAAAAAAGAGAGGAAGGAAGGACTACAAACCTGACACTAGATGCAGCTTCAGAGAATAAACCAGAGTTGGAAGGGACCTAGAGGTCATCTAGTCCAACCCTGCTCCAGCAGGACATTGTTAAAGTGAGTTTTTCTCTCTTTTGATCCCCCAGTTACATGACTTCATAGTCACATGACCCCCACCGAGCCATGCCCACCAAGCCACGCCCACAGAACCGGTAGTAAAAAAATAGATTTCACCACTGCCTAATGCATGTATGTGTGCATATATGTCTTGTATATAAACCACAGTTTGAAAGACCAAACCTCTGTGTACTGTATTTCGCTCCTGGGTTGCCTCAAAATAGTAGTCAAGCTGTGCGCACTCTGACAATCTTGAATTAAATACCGGTTCCCATTGCTTCCTCCCCCCTCCCCCCCCGCAGCCATTGTCCAGAACACAAATGGACTTCAGCGAGGGACGATGTGGAGAAAAATTCTATTTTCTACCCGCCGAGCGAGCAAGATGAACCGGCAGAAGAGGAGGCCAGCCCTTCCCAAAGCCGGCCTCCCTCGCGACCCGCAGAGGCAGGAACGCTGGTCAGGATGGCATCCGTCACCAGATCTCTCAGCACCTGCGGACCAAGCGGTAGCGAGCAGGTGGGGGCCCAGGATCTTCAGGTGTGCTCCAGGTTGGGCTCGGAGCTCCCTAAGATAACCTTGGGGGCAAAGGATGGAGGTGTAGAATCTGGCCAAAGTCGGGAGGAAGCCCCGAGCACCAACGAAGCAGGCGGTGAGGCTGTGGCAGGAGGAGAGCAGGCCCAGAGAGAAGGGGGCGAGGCAGACCGCGTGAAGACTCTCCCAGAAGATCAAGGCCGGGACGCTCCAGACTCAATCAGCGACTTGGCCCAGACTTCCGGTTGCAAGGTAAAGTCCAGCGGGGTCTTAATGGGCCACGTCGGAAAGTGGAAAAAGGATCCGAAGTCCACAACTCAAGGCGTTCTGTGCCCTGATGGATCTCCACCACTAGCCTCAGGTGAATCAGACAGCCTTCCTCCCAGTTAGGAGAAGACGTGGCTTGGCTTGTGGGGTCTCCTGCCCACGGAATCCCAGATATCCTCTGAGAAATAGACACGTGTTCCCTTCCCTCCAAGTTGTTGCTTTCTCATTTCCCACAATGCCCTAGAGTAATCCAATGTGTGACATTCTGAGAAAATTAAGAGGGGGAAGCTTCTAAGGAAGGAAGCCTCAATGAAGACAGTGTTGTGTCCCCCCCCTCCAGAGGCCAGAGTCGGACAGTGAAGAGGTTGGGGAGGAGCATGGGCCAGTCCTGGAGGCTGGGGAAGGCTCGGACGAGGGCTCTGTATCAGAGGCAGAGATGAGGCCAGAGCCGTATGCCAGTTATCAGCTACCTTCAGAGTCAGACATCAGTGAGGCAGAGGAACAGCTGGAGCCTGTTCCCAATGTGCGCATGAGCAGAGCTGCCAGAAGAAAAGAACAACTCAGAAATCAGGGTAGACTTGGGAGTAAAGTCACAGGTGGAAGGTGATTGGCCCCTCCCAGAGGAAATAAAAGAGGAGCGTTAGGGGAGTGGGCTTTTGCAGGGAACAATTTGTCCGTTCGGTCGTTAGATTAGTTTCAGGAGTGTGAAGATCTGCCCATGAATCTCAAATCCCCTTGCTGCATATCGGAATACTGCACAGATGGTCTCCCAACCCTCCCCATGCCTTTGCAATCTGGTGGTGCCAGCCACTCAACAATCCTGCTGGGTGCTTATTCCCTTTGAAAACACTCTGAGGTGGGGGCGGAAAACCTTTCAACTTCATGCAAAACTCACCGTTGTCTCCCTGCTGCTCTCGGCTTAGCCGCCTCCATAAATCAATGCGGTATTTTGAACGCCACCGTTTGTCCCGCTGGAGGATTTTTGAGTACAATAAACATGGCAGCTGTAAGGAATAGGGAAAGTATAAGGCAAATAACATTTTATTTGTATCAACTCTTCTTAGAGTTGATTTCAGATACATTAAGATACATTTTTTTTACTACCGGTTCTGTGGGTGTGGCTTGGTGGGCATGGCATGGCTTAACGTGCATGGCTTGGTGGGCGTGGCAGAGGAAGGATACTGCAAAATCTCCATTCCCTCCCCACTCCAGGGGAAGGATAACTGCAAAATCCACATTCCCTCCCCACTCCAGGGGAAGGATTCTGCAAAATCTCCATTACCTCCCCACTCCAAGGGAAGGATACTGCAAAATCCACATTCCCTCCCGATCAGCTGGGAGTCAGGAGACAGAGAATAGATAGGGGCATGGCCAGCCGGTGGTGGTATTTACCTTTTCTCCGAACTACTCAAAATTTCCGCTACTGGTTCTCCAGAACTAGTCAGAACCTGCTGAATACCACCTCTGTTCAATAGGCCAAAAATGCCCGTATTTTCACCCGCTTTTAGGGGGTGGTGGAAATAGGTGCGTCTTATTCTCCGAAAAATACCTCTGGTTGATTTATAGAAATACCTAGTCCACTGGACAGTTTCTTTAAATTTAAATTTAAGGCCAGCCCCAATCATTTCACGTGAAGAGGGTCTACAGGTAGTCCTTGACTTACAACGGTTCACTTAGTCCATGTTACAACGGCGCTTGAAAAAAAGCCACTTACGATGTTTTTTTCACGCTTTTGACCGCTGCAGCAACCCAATTTGGTCGTATGATCAAAATTCAGAACCAGCTTGGCAACCGGTTCACATTTATGACCGTTGCCATATCCCTGGGTCGCGGGATGGCTCTTTTTGCGACCTTTTGACAAGTAGACTCCATGGGGAAATGGGGTTCCATTAACAACCTTGCTATTAACTTACCCACTGCAGCCATCTCCTTAACGACGGTGGCAAGAAAGGTAATAAAAACGGGGCAAAACTCACTGAACAAATGCCTCGCTTAACAACACAAACGTTGGGACGCCACTGTCATCGTAAGTCGAGGATTTGCCTTTTTTTGAAAAGCATTTGATTCGGCAGGCAGCTAAACCAGAGGGTGCCCATCTCTTCTCTCGCAAGCATGTGGTTAAAGGATGAAATCATCCAGGCGAATCTCATAAAAAGAAGAAATTAGGGGAAGGAAAGACCGATAAAACCTTGGCTCCCTTAGCAGGCAATTTGGCTGGAGGCAAAACTCAGTTGCATAAATAAGAGCAAATTAAGTGGAAGAGGAAGGTTAAAACACACAGACACAGACACACAAATATTTGTATGCTACCAAAAATATGAGATAGTAGCGGTAGGGGAATATCCTGTGATTTTTGTTTTGCTGGCATTGCCAATTGTTAATTGTGGCAGCTCTAACAATAAATTTGAGATGGCAAAAGCAGGCGTAGCTACGGAGCAGTGCTGACTTTTGAATGAAGGGGTGGGACTTGAATGAAGGGGTGGGACTTCAAAATATCTGGCAACGAATAGATATCTGGAGTAGCAACCAATCCCCAATTTTCTCCTTATTTCTGATCAAGTCTACTCTTCATGCTCCAACACTGGAAGTTTTTAAGATTTAGCCATTTGTCTGAAGTGGTATAGCGTTTCCTGCCTGAGCAGGGGGTTGGACTAGAAGACCTCCAAGGTCCCTTCCAACTGTTGTTCTGCTCTGCTCTAGTCTGCTCTGTTCTCTCAGATTCTCTTCTCTTCTATCTTATATTCTATTCTATTTATCCTATATTCTATTATATTCAGTTCTATTTTATTCTGCATTCTATTCTATTCTGCATTCTAATCTGATCTGATCTAATTCTATTCTGCATTCTACTCTATTCTGTATTCTACTCTATTCTTACTTAATATTAAATTAAATAAGATTAATCAGATATATTTAAATACTTACATAGTTTGTAGCCAATTTCTTAAAATCTCTTTGGAGATGCTTGACTACAACTCTACTCTACTCTACTCTACTCTTCAGCGCATTTCCTGGTTCCCATTTACGCCCACCATTGAGCCCAAAATTTCTGTTTGCTAAATGAAACAATTGTTAAGTGAATTTTGCCCCATTTTACGACTTTTCTCACCATTCTTTGGCGAACCGCTAAAGTTGTTAAGTTAGCGACAAAGTTATTAACTGAATCTTGCTTTCCCTCATTGACTTTTGCTTGTCAGAAGGTCGGATCCCATGACCCCGGGACACTATGACCGTCATAAATATGAGTTTGGCTGCCAAGCGTTGGATTTGTGATCACGGTGACCATGGGGATGCTGCGATGGGCGTTAAGTGTGAAAAACGGTCATAAATCACTTTTTTCAGTACCGTTGTCACTTTGAACACTCACCGAACTGTTGTAAGTTGAGGACATCCTATAAAATAAATCCAACTCACCTTTTTTTTATTATTAAGGCAAGCTCCATAAGCTACCAGCCCCTGAAAACAAAGAATGAAATTCTCACCCTCAATTCTTCTACATCTTTTGTGCCTCTTCTCCTTGGATGCTCATCTGCCAAAATAACAATTTTGAAAAATAAAATAAACCAATCAAAAGCTTACTTACTTTGGGGTTGATTATCCTTAAAAACCACCCAGAGATGCCCTTTGGAGCCCATTCAAAGGTTAAACGCTCCTCTTTATCCCTTGCGTGATAGTTAAAGTTTCTTCACTATTTGGTACCTTCCAGCGTAAATCCACTTTTCCACCAGCCTCTCACAAAATGCATTTCACTCTTTTCCTAGGAGTTGGAGAGTTGCTCGATTTTCCCCCGGATAGCCGAGCCGACGGGCAGAATCAGCGAGCATTTTAGCCTTCTCAAACAGGGGGGAAATCCAGCTTTCCCAAACCTCAGACAATCTAAAAACACACACTGAAATAGCCAAAGAAGCAATATTAGATTAAATAAAATAAAGGCGCATGTTTATACAGAGGGGTGGAATTGAAAAATGTCAGCAATCGCTTCTCTGCCCAGTTGCTGGGTGGGCGTGGCCATGGGGGCATGGCCTAGCTGGCTTCCCCCCCCAGGCTCCAGAGGCCCTCTGGAGGAGGCTGGAAACAGGCCCGGTTTTGGACTACTTATAGTAGGCCCATTTTTTGCCCTCCCAAAGCCTCCGCGCAGGTCCTGCACTTACCTCGCATCCAAAACGGGCCGTGGGAGACCCCTGGGAGGGGTGGAGTGGGATGGGCAGGGCCAGCCAGTCCTTGCAACTACCGGTTCGGCGAACCAGATGTAAAATTAACATCCGTTTCGCCCGAAATGGTCTGAAACGGCTGAATCCCATCCCTGTTTATACATTTAAATACCCGCAGAGTTGGTAGCCAACGGACTACATCAGTTCCACAACAATCTCTTTTGGATACTGTATCCTTCTTGACATTCACGTCCAGGGAGGAAAGAACACCACCAGAAAAATATAATTTTTATTCATTCCACAACGCCCCTGGAAGAGGGCGTCGACGCTTCTGCTCAGCTGTCAGAATTCGATCTCTGCCAGTATATAGCTAAGTTTTAAAAATCAATTTCTGTCCATGAATGTCAGCCACGCTGGTTTTTCAAAAAAAAAAAAAGCTTCTCTCCGTCAAAGCAACTATTTGTCCAAAACCCGGTCGGAGCCGTGTGCGAGTCATGACTTCGAATGGTGAACAGCGACACTCTTCCATCAAAAGAGAGGCAGATCTTAGAAAGCGAGCCAAACTGACATCGAAAGTGGCTGTTTCTTTTGGCACCAGAGGCCACATTTCACAGTTTAAAAAGAATCAAATCGGTACTTGGATTCTGGCAAAATTGAAAGAAATAGTTGGGAGATTACGTTGGTAACCAAACAAGACAAAAACCTCAACTCTTCTGCTTTACAAATTCAGGATCCGGAGACGGTTTTTCCTGGTGCCACCCAAACCTATTTGCGTTAGGCTATCGAATCTGAAAAGGGACGCGGTGGCTCAGTAGCTAAGATGCTGAGCTTGTTGATCAGAAAGGTCATCAATTCAGTGGTTTGAATCCCTAGCGCCACGTAACGGAGTGAGCTCCTGTGACTTGCCCCAGCTTCTGCCAACCTAGCAGTTCGAAAGCACGTAAAAAATACAAGTAGAAAAGTAGGAACCACCTTTGGTGGGAAGATAACAGCGTTCCATGCACCTTCGCCGTTGAGTCATGCCGGCCACATGACCACGGAGACGTCTTCGGACAGCGCTGACTCTTCGGCTCAGAAACAGAGATGAGCACCGCCCCCTAGAGTCGGGAACGAGTAGAACATATGTGCGAGGGGAACCTTCACCTTTACCTATCGAATCTGAAGGCTTCCCTCCTGGCAAACCTCTGCTTCACCTGTTCAGCTACCTGAGCCCCTGCTCTGTAGCTGTTGGCCAACTGACCCGGAGTGTCGAAGCATGACATCACAGCCTCTCCATTGTGACCTGGGCGTAAGTCAGCTTCCAGCAGTATGGCTTCAGAGCAGGAAGTACTTTCGACACCGACTCGCTGGGAACCAAGGGTCTACAAGAAGAAACTCCTTAGCTTCCCGCCCCGTTTGACTCTCCGAAGACCTCTGTGCTTCTCAGGTGCCCCTCTTTTAACTAGGCAGGAAAGAGGTTGCGGGCGTACGGGGCTAAGTGTGCAAAACTCAGACGAGGGAGTTAGGGAAAGCCAGGGACGGGGGACTTGGGGGGGACTGTTAACACTTGGAGGGATGTCCGTCCCAAGATTACCTGGGGAATGACAGACAACAAGGTGCCCGTCATGCCAAGGGACAACCAGGAGAGGGATCCAGGGTGGCTATAGAGCCCTTATCTCCGGACGGTTGTAAAGCCCATCGAGAGGGAAGACTGTGGACGATACCGAACCGCACTTCCCAAAAACTACTTGGTATGACGAATTCCGGAGAGGCTGTACATTTTAACTAATTTTGTTCCGTCCAATCAAGTCACTTGGATGAGCAACCCAACGTGTCCGATTCACCAAGTTTGGTTCAGTTGCCAGGATCCAACTTTTTAGACGCCTTTGGCCTTCATCAACATCTCACCTTTTTCTCATTTGTGGCTGCCCGTTGCCCGCACCGGCATACCTGAGATCTAACTATCCCCCACCCCTTATCTCAGCGTCTGTCCTTCGCGCCTTTCCCAGAGGATCACGGATTTTAGAATCCCGTTCCAGATTCCCTCCATCGTAGATGCCGCTGTCGAGCTGGTTCCTCTCGGCTGCAACTGGGAGGGAAACCCAGATTGAAATCTGGGTGCGAGCCATGTCCCGCACCCCACCCCTGTTACTGATCGAGGCTGATCTGGCTTTTAGGATGGATGAGCGAAAGACCGCTGGATGGCAATGAAAGAGCAGCTGCCTTACGCTTAGGCTTCCGTTGGTTCCCATACTACAACGAAGCAGGTGAGGTCTACCGGCCGACAAAGTTGCCCAAAAGACGCCCAGGACAGAGTCATCCAAGGGTTCAAAGCAGCACAACCCATCAGCAAGGAGGTGAGGGTGATTATTATTTTTTTTGAGCAAATAGGGCACGTAGACTAAAGGAGTGGCAACGATTGCAAACTAACCTACCGTATTTTTCGGACTATAAGACGCACCAGAGTATAAGGCGCATCATGATTTTGAAGAGGCAATTTTTATAAAAAAAGGTTTTGCCCTCTGCAGGCCTCCCAAACCCTCTGCATGCCTCGTTTTTAAAAAAAGGGGGGAGCATGCAGATCTTTGGGAGGCTTGTAGAGTACTCCTGGGGCTGGGGAGGAGGGGCAAAAACGAGGAAAAAATGACCCGTTTTTTGCAAAAATGGCCTGTTCTTTGCGAAACAAAATAGCATGCAGGGGCTTTGGGATGCTTGCAGAATGCTCTTGGGGGCTTGGGGGGGGGGCAAAATGCCCGTTTTTCCCCTCTTTTTTGCCCTCCCCAGCCCTCAGGAGCACTTTGCAAGCCTCCAAACCCTCTGCACTTCCCTTTTTGTGAAAGGGACGGAGTTTCAGGATTTTCACCCTCTTTTTTTTGAGAGGAAAATATGCGTCTTATACTCCGAAAAATACGGTAGTTAATGTGAGCTGATCACACCAGCGTGTTTGGGGAGTAGATCCAGAAAAGGGAACTGGGTAAGCTGGAGTGAATCCACGGATCGAAAGGCAGCACAGCTAGTCCACGCCTTAACGACACTTCATTTACACCAGGGGTAACGAGCTCCCTGTTGAGATCCGGACCCCTACTACCCTCCCGGCCTTCCGCAAAGCCACCAAGTCCTGGCTGTTCCAGCAGGCTGGG